TGTTGTAAATGGTACGGACATGAGGTTAGGTACGTCACTGAAATCTAGTAGATTTCATAGTTGCGATCTGAATGATTTACATTCTGTCCGAGCGAAGTTTCAGGCTGCGCTGCTGATATCGTGGATTCCGTCAAGATACCATATCTATCCTCCGAAAAAGCTGTTCAGCATGCAGCAGGATGGCGTGAGCTTTACGACACTGTGGATGAAAATCGAAAACTACTGTCCGTCGATCCTGCTTATCAAAACGTCGAAAAGCGAGGTATAGGTTCTGTACTACTTTTAGTATTGTGCTTTCTACGAGTTGTTTCCTCCATTTAGATGTTTGGTGCCTACTGTTCAGAGGCATGGTCGTACAGACGGCGATGCGCCAATAACTGTTTCTTTGGTACTGGTGAATGTTTCCTGTTCCGCATCACTCCTGAACCTTGTCATTATCCGTGGATTGGTTTGAAGAAATCTCCAGTGACTCACGGCGAAGAGTTGTTCCAGTTGGCGCAGCCATCCGTCTTGATCGTCGGTGGAGGGTACGCTGTTCTATATAAATAAATCAATATAGGTATATAGCGTACTTGCATCCATCGAAAATTTGTTTGGCAATTCAATAGCGTATAGTGTGACGCATCGTTACACCAAATTCATGCCACGCCCGTGGAAATTGCCACGTGCGTGTTTGTAATATTCCGTTAGATCGATTTGATACAGTTGACTGAAAATTAGCATATATACTGTATAAATTTGTACACAACGTGAACAGTCGTGTTACCGTATGCTCCATCTCACTGACCTTCTCGTGGACCATGATAACGGTTTTTCGTTATTGCTGTTTCCAGCAGCTGTAGCGTGTCCAGCCGTTTGGCAAATTTATGCCTGTGGTACCGTTTTGACAATGGTACATTTTTTGCCATTTGACACCGTTACAGGACTTTGGATGACCAATGTGCTCCTTTGACTCTCCTGTGGTAAACGCTCGGTACTCTTTGATAATCTGGGCATGTCTTTTTTGCGTCGCTTGCTTTACGAGTTCTGAACTCTTTTCACATCAGAGCATGACTTAATGGTGTGGGGCATTTCTTCGTTTCCGACACGTGTGCTTGTTTTGCACATGCCGTTCGTATTCGTTGAATTTTTCCAGCGTGACAAATCAAAGTTCTTCCTCCGAGTGACCTTTCCTATAAGGAAAATTTTTCGAATGGAATACATGCTCCGAATTCTTACTGTTTGGTTTATCTCCCCGATCCAGTTATCATTGGATCTGTAGATGTGATGGATATCATTGGATTCATAACCATATTATGGTTTTCAGTTTCGAGTATATACCTGCTGTTACGATTCCATTGTAGTTCGGTTAGGTGAATTTGCCCATGAGGCCAATAGACTCCTGCCGACGATTGAGCTGTTTATCGCTCGGAAGCCTATCGTTATCATTCGCATTGCCGATGCTGTGAGTACACGTTACCATGTGCTTTACTCTATTGTGTTGCGGTCGTGGGTGATGACTGTGACTTGATGACTCGATAAAGCGCTGATAGCTGATTGCAAGCAGCCATATGAAGCATCTTTGTCCCTTTTACTTGACTCGTTTGTCTGCTCAACAGTGACACTTACCGTCATGTGTATTTCATTATGCGACAAATCAGGATTCTCTCCGTTTCCGTAACCACCAGTACGTCGAATTGTGTCGGCGGATCGTGATATACGCCATCCAACTTAATACGTTCAAACACCAAAACACGGCGATTACCTCGTGGTGTTGTGTTGACAGCTGGAACGTTTTATTCCTCGATTCCAAGTTGTCAGACTGGTTGCGGTATGAACCGCTCGCTACGCAGTTCACTTCCGCAAGAGCAATTTTCGTCCTCCCTCCCGCCTTCCAGGAAGTCATCCGGGCAGCCTGCATCTGACTGTAGTACGTGTATGGTAACCAAATAAAGTAAAAGCAAAGTTCGGTATAAAACAGTAGATTCGTTAAAAATCCTAGAATTGCGAAAACATCTGAAACATATGCAACGTAAACCAAATGGTGGGTTGGGAAGACGGATATGCGGATTAAACTTGCGGTTGCATAGACGTTGTTCAGTTGCATTTTATTTCCATCTTAGTGTAGCGTCACTACGGCTACTCCAGTTTTTGGTTGTTTGCAAGTAATTACGATGTGCAGTTGCTTTTTCAGTGGCTCAGAAGGACTGGCTCTGCGGAACACGTTGGAAAAAGGCTCGACGGGACATTGTGATACTTTCGATAACCCTCCTCTGTGTGAAGGCACACAGTTTGAAATTGACTCCCTCGAAGTGTTCGGTTTTCCCGTTGAAGAATAAATGCCGAACCGCGTGCTGTGATTATACTCTTGGTGGTGCTTGGACGACACGTGCCACATTCGAGCTGGCCTTTCGCCGTTTGACAGTGCGCGCCTCAGTACGTAGTCGTCCCTCAGTTCGTCGGTTTATTATTTATTCTGTTATTCTGTTGTTTTATTCCTCGGTTCTTAATATATGTTTTTTTCTTATCGCGATGCTTTTCTATGCAAGATTTTGAAAATCTTCGCAGATCATCTTTAATGTCAAGGCTCTGGTTTATATTGTTGATATTTCTTTTGCTAAATTTGCTTCAAGTCGCTGTCGGTACAAATTATTATATTGGTGAAATTCATCACATTCCAAAATTTTGGCAAGTTTATTCTTATGCGGAGATGAACGACATTTATCGCCCGTTTCATCCTGTTTTGTTGTCGGATTTGTTTGATCTGTCGTACGGCCGTGATTCCATGTCTCATGTGGTTTCTTGTTGTGGAGGCTATAAACTATCTACCGGCAAGGAAATATGTTTACGTTTAATCGCCGAGTTAGTTGTAGCACGGAATCTTCGTTGTTGCGCGACTGGTTGTCTGTCGCTGACCTCGTATCATCCGGCTGATCAATATCATCCATACTAGCATCATCAGTTGTTCATAAGCCAGAGTATGTTGAACAGCCGTACTGAAATACCATACAGCAGTAGCGGTGCTTAAATGGCCCTCTGGGCAACTGTTACGACTCATACGTTACTTTCTTAAGCGATTAATTCGTTTTTCCATCAGAGGGACAGGTTAGTCAAAAGTTTAATTAATTAGTGAAATGTCGAGCAAAGCGCACAGTTCAGTCATCATCAATTGCTCAGGTCTTCACTGTTCGTACTTTGATTGAGAGTTCTGCATTTTGCTCTGAGATAAATCAGAATACAGCCATGAATGATTCGTGCACTACATGTGAATTAGACTCCGACGGACATGTGGCATATATGCACAGATTACCATATAGCGGCGCTCGGTTCAGATGAGCAGCTGCCGGAAATTTTTTCAGCCGGGTCGCTGCCATACCGAGAACCGCACAGGCTGATCATTTTCTGCTTATTATGCGGTGCTCGAACGGAACAGGTGACATGTTGCGTTCATACGACATGACGAAAACCGAGAATAATCTTCGTTCGAGTGAAAGTTTATCTTTTATGTACACTGCACCAAGCGTAAAATTTCA